ATTTATTTAAATATCTCAATAGTTAAAGCATTTAATATTGATATGATAAAAATATAAAAATAATATATATATAAATTTTGATTTAAATATCAGTATTTACTAATACTGATTTATATATTGGCATTTATTAATTTGATTTATATATCAGCATTTATAAATGATACTTTTTATATAAAGAAATTATTGTCATATATGTTTTTGGTGATATATTTCTAATAGTATATGTATCTGCTATAAATCAGTAATAGATTTGATGTATAGGAATTATACAGTCTTTGCTTAACTCGTAAAATTCTTGGTCTCACAACTCTATATTACAACTAAGATCATCATTATTAATTTTTATATGGAACTGTATTTTATAATTGTCAGCAAGTTTATACCATTTTACAAAGACAAGATGATATGTTTAATTGCAGAAGAAAAATAAATAGTATGATCAAAATAGAATTGAACTTGACCAAGATATAAATCTACTGTTTCATCTTCTGAAGCAACAAATCTTGCCAGAATTCTTGAAGATTTAGTATAGTGGGCTGAGAATGTAGATCCAAAAATTTCTGACCCCAACTTTAATCGTCCATATTGATTAATGATAGAAGATACAGATATCTGTCCATTTGTATATATATCCCTAGGTTTAACAAATTAATAATCTATTCAACTAAAAGATCTAATATATTAAGTAGTAACATAGCATTTTTCATTTTTGGATCAAGGAATGTACCAGAAAATGGTTCATCACCAAAAGCTTCTTCCTCATTAATAAGGTTTCTTAATTTATAAAATTGAAAAAGATCTTGTGATTCAAATTCATCTGAAATGTCTATAATGCCACTTGATTTTCTTTCCTTTAAAATTTTTAAAGAATCAAATAATTTATTATCATTTTCTGCATATAATACAATTTGGTCTAAACAGTTATTTGCAAGAATAATTCTCATAAGTTCTGGTTCTATATTCTTATGGCTACTCTTATATGAGCCTACAAAATATAATTATAAATATTATTACAAAAAATGATGCTGCATATAAATTATA